CAGCAGCAGTTGAACTTCATTGGGACTCTACTGGGACACATGCAATGCAGGGTCTGGGACAAGGGACAGGCTGAATTGAGCCAATGCAGACCCAACGAGGAGTGGCCAGCACTATAAAGAAAGCTGCCAGCCTCATTCCTCGCCAGATCTCCACTGGCTTGAATGCGTGGAAGTGCTGGTGCACTTGTGCGTTAGTCAGTAGGAGTAGCGCTGGAGGAAGGAAGATGCGCTAAGAGAGAAGAAGAAGACTGTGCGCTGGAAGGGATGCAGCCATAGCTGCCCAGCGAGTTAGTAAGTAGAGTAGAAGGGTTAGTATGTAGCTATGAGTAGTATTCAGAGTAGATCCTCATGAGTGAAGGGTGTGTATGCATCGCAGGAAAAGGGACTGAGGTTGAGGGTGTTCATTCAAGGTTCGGCTATGGAAGATACTTACCTGAGTTGGATGTGACCTGCAGAGGTGGCGCTGATGAGTAGTGACCACATTGATGACTTGGAGACTATCTGCAGGAGTAGTGCTGATTCACTGGAAGTCATAGGGATGAGTTGACAAGAGATTGGTGTTGCGCTGATGAGCGCTGAACTCAGGGGAACTTTGAAACACTTTGTATTCATATTTCTGATAATATAAGCTGTGAAACTCGGTCCTCTTCTTCTCTACCTTTGTCTATGGTTGAGACTATTGATCACTGTGTGTGAAGATGATGCATGACATGTACACATCTGCGTGAGATGGTCCCCAGGACCCATGCAATAAGAGCAGAACCTCAGTAATACAGGCTAACTTAGGCAGGGGTGAAGGGAGGTACATCCTTCCGTCGGGAAGTAATCAATGCCATCGTTCGGGCCTCCACACCATGAGGGGGAGAAGCGTGTGTGTACACATATTGTAATCCTTCCTGACTTGCCAGTGGAATAGGAACCGGACTGATGCTCCCCAGAATGGAAAAGGAGCCGGAACCATAAGGTTCTGTTTTTTTTTTAAAAAAAAAAAAAAAAAAAAAAGATATGCACAGCGGAAGCTCAAAATACACAGAGAATTGAAAACGAATTTCGATTCTGCAATCCCTCGTCCTCCTCCAATCAATCCGGAGTACTTGTTCCAAGAATCACAACCGTGTTGACGACAACCCCGAACAACCAGAAACAAGTGTTCAACGAAGTATGCAGGAGTCTTCTTCTTCCTCCTCGCCACCTCCTAGCCACCTCCTAACCCTGGCTATGGCTGCCGTAGCAGCAGTAACCCCACAGCTGTCACAACGTGCCAATCTGAACCAGCAACCCTAATGATAACAGCGCCAGCTCAGCACCCGCACGGAAGTGCACCGCTAGAAGTCCTGATGAAGAAGGAGACAACCAATCCAGCACTTCGAAGAAGATAAAGATGAAGTTCCTCATGAGGAGGAACAACAGATATGGCTGCCACGTGGAAGATGGCAACACC